AGATCCTGTCCCATGTCATCATCAGACTGACTTTATTATTCTAGATTTTTATTCAGTTCAATCATCACCATCTGTTATGGTGGTATTCATCGAATCCCGACAGTGTGGAAACAGGCCATTCGGAAAACAAGTCCACACTGCTCCTCTGAAGAGCATCCCACCCAGACCCAGTCCCCTACCTCTGTATTTCCCATCCAATCTAAACATCCCTGGGCGCTATGGGCAATTTAGCATGGCCAATCCACCTACCCTGCACATCTTTGGACTGTGGGAGGAAACCAGAGCACGCGGAGGAAACCCATGCAGACATGGGGAGAACATGCGAACTCCACACAGACAGTCGCCCAAGGCTGGAATTGAACCCAGATCCCCGGCGCTGTGAGGCAGCAGGGCTAATCACTGAGCCACCATGCCACCCCATGTCCCCAAAGCATTAGCCTGTGGTTCTGGATTGCTTAAAGCCAATGACATTTCAACTACACTACTACCTCTCCAAATATAAGAGTATTGAAATAGTTTTCTACAGAACAAAAATAGGATCCTTAAAACCATTTTAATCATTCTCATTCTAAGACAAAACAAATGCAATGATCATACTGTTTCCTACAGCTCTATTAGTCAGGATTGCTATCTTAATAATATAAGGGAGTAAATAAGTTCCAAATTATATTCCATGAATACGAACCTGTTTGTTAGGATTCTACCTAGCAACAAGGCAGGAAGCTCCTACACTGCAGTCTCATTCGATAGTCTATGGAAAACAGAGACTTGACCAGAGGTGTGGTGTCACACAGTTATACAGAGTGGCTTTTTCCCTCTCTCCTCACAGTGTAGATCCAACACGAAAGCAGCAGGATTCTCATGAGATCAAGGTATCAGTAACAACAAACTCCACAGAGAAACCCTCTAGTAAGGGCAAGAATGGAACAAAAACCATTAGAATATTTAACTGATATGTATTAATTTTCACTTTACCTAATTTGCCAGCCTACAGTTGAGAGAACTTGACTGAGGGTATGAAGTTACAGATCATGAAGGGGATAAGTCATTGCAGATGGAGTGTGAGAAAAGACTAGGCCATTCAATTTTTAAATGAGAAAACCAAATCAGAAAATTGCTTTATGCTGAGGGACTCAGAGCATTGGTGGAGCAAACATCTGTAGATGCATGTGTCAGAATCTCGAAAGGTTGGAGCAAAAACACAAACTAAAGTCAAAGAAAGGCAGAGGGATGTTAGGTTTTTAGCTCAAGAGATCAAATTTTGTTCACGAGGGAGATGCACATAGTCTTTAGTCAGACTCCATCTGGAACGCAGCATCTGACAGTTACCAGAATTATCTCTGGGTTTACAGGATTAAATTGTAATTTCATCATCACAGCCTATTTCCTGGTTTATATCCCATTGTCCTTCAAACGCTGATGGGCGATGTGATTATGGTGTTTATGAAGAGAAAGGGGTTTGATGGGGTAGATAGAGAGGGAGTGTTAGCCCCCAGTGAGGGAATCCAGAACAAGTGATAATAACTGAGAATTAGAGCTGGTTTGTTGAGGTGTGAGGTCAGGAAGCTGCTGATTCACTATCACCATTTTAGATGTTTACCCCATGTCGAGCGCAATGGAAAATAATAGATGGAAGATGTGAAACAGTTTTTGGACTCACCATAACCACTTTTACACAGTCACAATCCGGCTCAAAGTGTGAGAGATTTGGAACAATCTGCCTGATAAATGGTACAGACTGGAACACTTATCTGCTTAATCCTAATTCGTCACCCATATTCTCTTGCTTTGTTTTGCTTTACTCTGTACTTTTCTCATATGACAGCAAGTCCTGTACTTTCAGCCCCTATTTTCCCCAGAAGACAAAATATTTTCATGGGTATGTGAAGAGGGTAGTGGAATTGCTGTTCCGGAAAACTGGCATAGATATAATGGGTCAAATGGTCTCAGTTGTACTAGTAAACATTATGTGATGAAGCGAGGGTACAAGGAAACATCTTGGACCCTGCACAGAAACACAAACAAGAATATCAACAGTGAAATTAAACAAAGACTGTAGATGCTGGAAACCTGAAACAAAAGCAGAAATTGCTGGAGAAACTCACCAAGTCTGACAACACATGTGAACAGAAAGTAGAATTAATGTTTCAGGTCCAGTGACACTTCCTCAGTGCTGTATATGCTGAAGGGGAAATGGTATCAGTTTAAACAAGTCGTGGAGACAGTTAGACATTCAAAGTGACAGATAACACTAAGCCAGGGCAAAAGAAAAACTGATAATGGGGTCCATAATTTGGTAGAAATGAGATAGCTGTGCTGAAAGCAGACCATGTGCTGTCAAGTGTGGGTAGGGAAAGAAAATGGGAGAAGTTGCTCAAGCCCTAAAATTATTGAACTCAAAATTAATTCCTATGGCTGCAGGTCCCCAAGTGAAAAATGAAATGCTGTTTTTCCAGCTTGCACTGATCTTTGCTGGACCACTGCAGCAAGCCAGAGACAGAGATTTTGGCCAGGGAACATGGTGGTGTGTTAAGTGGCAAGTGGCTGAAGCACAGGGCCAGTTTTGCAAATAGAATATGGGTCTACTGCAAAGCAGTCACCCAGTCTACATTTTGTGTTTCCCACGATAGAGGAGGCCACATTGTGAGCAGTGAACAGAGTCAATTGAGCGAAATGCAAGTGAAGCGCTGCTTCACCTGGAAGGTACACCTGGAGCCTTGGGTAGTGAGGAGGCGGGAAGTAAATGGCTCCTCCATGGACATGGAGAGATGTTGGGAGTGGAGGAGGAGTGGACCAGATGTCCCGGAAGGAGCGATCCCTATGGAATACTGATAAGGGAGGGAAGGGGAATGTGTTGGCATCCCACTTAGATCATGGAATTGGAGGCTAATGATCCTTTGATTGTGGACGCTGTTGGAGTGGAAAGTGAGGATTAAGAAGACCATATCAGTGTTGTGGGAAGAGCAAAAGGAATACGGCAGATGTGTGGGAAATGGGTTGGACGCCGTTGAGGAATGGCATCATCTCTCATCCACGGTGATGGGGAATCCTTGACTGAGAAAAAAAGTGGACATTTTTGTATCACCCACATTACATTGGTTTTCTGTTAACTCAACAGCAACAGCAGTAGAACAGATGTGTTGGAAATAGAGAAACTGGGAGAATGGGATGAAGTCTTCACAGAAAGCAGAGTGTGTGGATGTTTAGTCCAGTTATATATGAGAGTTGTTGGTTTGTACTGGATATTGGCGCCCAGTCAATCCCCAGAAGTGGAAACAGAGATGTTGAGAAAGGGAAGACAGGAGTCTGAGATTGACTAGATGAAGGGTGAGAGGTGAGGAAATTGGAAGCAAAATTGATGAACTTCATCAATTACAGGTGAGAGGGGGAAGCAACACCAATAATATTATCGATGTACTGGAGAAAGAGTTGTGGATGGGGGCTGGAGTAGAACTGGAACAAGGAATGTTCCACATATCCCACAAAGAGACAGACATAACTGGGGTCCATGCGGGTGTCTATGGCCAACCCTTTGATCTCAAGAAAGTGAGAGCAGTTAATGGAAAATTTCCTTCTGGTTGTATTCAAATGCTTATTTCAGTGTGATAAGCACACTTATGCATCAAAATCTCACAGTCACAAAATGAATCAAATCTTGATGCTCGTCTGACTAATTTGCAAATACAGGGCAGACAGTTTAACACGAATGAAGAAGTGGAAAAGGGCAGGAATGATTGTGTCAACAACTTGAATCTCCTGCTCTTTTCCTAATATCAAACTATAAAATTAATAACTTGAAGACAATAAGGACTGCAGATGCTGGAAGCCAGAGTTAATAGATGTGAAACTGGAAAAGCACAGCAGGTCAGACAGCGTCTGAGGAGCAAACCGTTGTCAGGAAGATTTTTGGCACAAAATGTTGACTTTCCCGCTCCTCAGATGCTGTCTGACGTGCTGTGCTTTTTCAGGTTCACATCTCTTGTCATCAAAATTATTTATAATGGCTTCTCTTAATGTTGGAAATTCAAATTTATTAATTTTATTGTCAATAGATGTGAACCTGAAAAAGCACAGCAGGTCAGACAGCATCTGAGGAGCAAACCTTTGTCAGGAAGATTTTTGGCCCAAAATGTTGACTTTCCCGCTCCTCAGATCTGAGATAATTGTGGCAATTTATGTTTTTACTGCTTTTTTAATCAGCCTTTGGCTGTGAGTTAACAGAAAACCAGTGTAATGAAAGGTTCAATTAAAGATGTAATTATCAACTGAGAGCCCTAGGTTTCTGCAGCCATTATATCAACATAAACACGATAACAACTCAGAACAAAGAGCACAAAGTCCATTTAGGCTGTTTCTGAAGACAATCTCTCCTCTGATTGTATTGCTGTAAGAGACAGTCCATTCACCGATGTGGCAGTCATATTACTGAGCTAAGATCAATGCAATGCTTTGACCAGAGAACACAGGAATAGACCAGCAACATTCAGAATGGTGAAACAAAGAGAAAAAAGTAAACAGTATTGGGAGTGTAATTGCTGTAATTGAGGAATTCAATTCAATTCAACGTAAGCTGGTTAGTACTTCAATGAATTACCGACTGCTGTAATGTCACGATGTTGTTTTTTGATGGAAAAGTTAAATCAAGTTCTTGTCTGTTCAAGCAGATGCAAACAATTTATTGACATAGTCTGAAAAAGAACAGGGGAATTTTCCACACGTTTGGGAGAGCAGTTATTACTCAACAAACATCATTCAAAGCAATGTAACCTGTCATTAGTTACATTCACTGAATTTTTCTTTGGAACTTGCTGTGCACAAATTGGCTGCCATTGTGCCAAAATTGCAATAGTGACTACACTTCAAAATTATTTCATTGTCTGTGGAATGTCTTCGGATATGCTGGCAATGTGGAAATTGCCGTATCAATGTAATGGTCTTATTTTGTGGATTGTTTAATACATTTTAAGAGCTCATGTCTTAATAATTGCATGGGGAGTATTTTAATCAGTCCCAAATGCAGCCTTCACCACTCTCTGTGCGTTCTCTGCAAGCTCATCCAGTGCATTGTTCAATATCTTGTAGGTCAAACAAAATGATGATGCTGCTCCAAAGATAGAACCAACGACTGGGATAAAGTCAAGGACAACTTCAGCTGTAGAAATGCCAACAAAAACCGATCCCATTAACATTCGTATCACAAACTCCTTATTTACTTCCCCCAGCAGGGGAGTTTTCACCACTGCTTTCAGATCTTCCACAGGTTTCCCTGTCATTTTGGCCAGTCTTTGAAGAGAGGCATCATCCAGACCTAGATATTTACGAAATTCTTTAATTGCACTAACCAGTACCCCAATGTCACAAGAGAATGACAGGCCAGGAACTGGAATCGCTCCCACTGATCCAGAAATTGTTGCTAACATCCAGATTCGTTTTTTCAGCTCTTTTCTTTTGTTATTGATTATTTCCAAGGTTGTATTTGGAAGTGACATCAAGAATGCTTGCTTCTTTAGATCATCAAGGTTATTTGCAAGGGTTTCTCTTAATTCTGGAAAATCAAAATCATTCATTTCAAAGCTGGATATCAGAAAAACAGTGGGTGCTGAAAACCCTGCCACTTTCAATTTGCTGACGCAGTCTCTCCTGATTTTCTTCAGTTCCTCCTCTTCATTCAAAGTCTTATTTTTCTTCCTCATTGAATAGAGATCATTATCTATCTTAGATCGGACAAAGTAGAGATTCTTCCCAAGCCTTTTAATCTCATTGGCAATAGAAACGTCATTTTCTCTGAATCGACCATGTAAAATGATGATAAAAAAATCATATTTTTGAAAATTCATTGCACTCATGTATGTTTTTGCGGGGAAATTTGGTGTTCCAATTCCTGGCAGGTCCCAGAAGCAAACATTTGGCAGGTTGGGGTGCGGGTATGGGGTTGGCTTCATTGTGGTTTCGGTAGTCCCAGTTTCAGCTGCTCCTTCATCATCGCCCTGTACTCCTCTTATCGCATCAATAAAAGTAGATTTCCCTGCACCAGAGTCTCCCGTCACTGCAATGTTCAGCTGTACATTGTGAAGAACATTTAATTTCTGCTGTATCAAAGAGGCAGCGTTTTCCAGCCCACCCTTTTCATAAGCAGACTTGAGATCTTTGAGTTCATCATGATTAAAGTATGCAGACTTGGAAGGCTGAGCCATCTCTGTGAAAAAGAATGAATACATTACACTGTCCATAACTTTTCCACAATCCAAATGGGTGTCTTTACACAAAGAATGAAAAATGCAAACAAAACCTGTTAATGTTAAATCAGAAACTATTGGAGTTGGAATATTTTACTCAGATACAGAAAGCATTGTTGATCTGAAAATCAAAGCACCTCATCACTCTCTATGATTTCCATATTTCACTCTTATTCTCAATGCTCTTGGGATATGTGTCACAATACTGTCAGCGTTTGACTTACATGTTCACTACAGAGGTTATTGCAGGAGATGTATGTACCTTGGTTTTGCATTTGCACTTTCATAGGATGTAGATGCAGAGCTATAAATAGAACATATTTTTTCTATGTCTGATCTCACCAGATGGTTGTTGACACTAAAATTAACGATTACAAGTTAAGACAGGTTGAGTGAGATAGGTATACTGTGGTGGTGGAATGCAGTGTTGGAGGTAGGGTGAGTGGAAATATATTTACAGTTTAATGTGATCGGGTTTAAGTCACAGCTCAAGATCTTATCTTGAGTCCCATCATGAAAAATCACATTTTCTTCCTGTATTTGAGTTCCTAACTGGCAGTCCCGATTGGCAGATGCCCTTACTGCCAGCACCATGTCTACAAAAAACGGACTGTATTTTTGTGTGTGACTCCTTCCTTCAGTCCAAACACATTGGGGCAATCAGTTCCACAATGAATCAGCCTTCAAGGTTATTCCAATATTCTTGGCTGCTTCCTAAACACAATGGAAGCTCCTGGCCTTTAATCTGCTGCAGCAGCTCTGGAAGTTTCCTTCTCTCCAGAGGCAGAGACAGAAATCTCACTGGCAAGACATCCTGAAGAATAAATTAATCTCTACACCTGGGGCAGGGTCACAGTAATGAACTGGGATGGAAGTCAATTTAACATAGGATGGAGAGTGATTACACATCCCATCCTGAACCTTAAGATTGGCCAGCACTTCACTGAAACTATATTGGAAGAGCTTGGCTAAGGGAATGGCAAGTTCTGGAGAATGAGTTTTCAGTGCTATTGCTGGAATGTTGTTAGGCCCTATAGCCTTTGCAGTGCCAGTGCTTCTAACTGTTACTTGATACCATGTGGAGAGAATTGCATTTGTGGAAGACTGGTGTTTGTGATGCTGGGGATCACTGCAGGAAGCAAAGATGCATCATCCATTCAGCAATTCTGGCTGAAGATTGCTGCAAAAGCTTCAGCATTGTCATAGAATCCCTACAGTGTGGAAGCAGGCCATTTAGCCCATCGAGTCCACACAACCCTCCAAAGATTATCCAACCCAGAACCACCTCATCCCTGTAACCCCACATTTCCCATGGCTAACCCACCTATCCTGCACATCCCTGGATGCTACGGGCAATTTAACATGGCGTTTCCAACTAACCTGCACATCTTTGGACTGTGGCAAGAAACTGGAGCAACCGAAGGAATCCCACACAGCACAGGGAGAATGTGCAAATTCCACACAGACAGCCCGAGGGTGGAATCGAACCGGGGTCCATGGTGCTGTGAGGCAACAGTGCTAACCACTGAATCACCGTGCTGCCCTCTAGAAAAAAGTCTTCTGCACTGATGTGCTGGGCTCTTCCATCATTGAGGATACGGATATTTGTGGAGCCTCCTCCTCCACTGAGTTGCTTAATTGTCTATCACCATTCACGACTGAATGTGGCAGGTCTGCAGAACGTAGAACTGATCTGATAGTTGTGAGATCACTTAGGTCTGACTATCACTTGCAGCTTATGCTGTTTGGCACGCAAGTAGTCCTGTTTGGTAGCTTCACCAGGTGAGCATCTCATTTTTAGTTATGCCTGGTGATGGTCCTGGCTTGGCTTCCTGCACTCTCCATTGAACCAGAGTTGATCCCTTGGCTTGATGATAATGGTTGAGTGGGGGATATGCTGGGCCATGGAGTTACAGGTTGTGCTGGAGTACAGTTCTGCTGCTGTTGATGGCCTCATGGATGCCCAGGCTTGAGTTGTTAGATCTGTTCGAAGTCTGTCCCATTTAGCACAGTGATAGTGCGGCACAACGCAATGGAGGTTATTCTCAATGTGAAGGCGGGACTTTGTCTCCACAATGACGGTGCTGTGGTCACTCTAACCGATACTGTCATGGACAGATGCATCTGCAGCTGGCAGATTGGTAAGGATGAAGTCAAGTATGTTTTTCCCTCTTGTTAGTTCCCTCACCAGCTGCTGCAAAACCATTCTAGCAGTTAGGTCCTTTAGGAACTGACCAGCTTGATCAGTTATGGTGTTGCCAAATCACTCTTGGTGATGGACTATGAAATCCCGTACCCAGAGTGCCACCCTCAGTGCTTCCTCCAAGTGTTGGCCAACATGGAGGCCGGTACGTGGTAATACGCAGGGAGTTTCTTTGCTCATGTTTAAACTGATGCAATGAGACTTCATGAGACTTGGAGACAATTTTGAGGACTCCCAGGCTAACTCCCTCCCAATTGTGTTCCATTGTGCTGCCGCTTCCACTGGGTCCATTGTGCCTTGGGACTGGACATATCCAGGGATGGTTCATTATCTTTAAGGAACAATATCATGAGTATGACTATGATGCTTGACTACTCTGTGAGACAGCTTTCCCAATTTTTATACTAGCTCCAGGTATCAGTAAGGAGGACTTTTCAGTTTTGGCAGGGCTGTTTTTGCCATTGTTGTTTCCATTGCCTAGGTTGATGTGAGGTTACCTGTCCAGTTTGATTGCTTTGTTGAGACTTTGTAGTGATTGTTACAAGTGAGTGACTTGATAGGTCATTTCAGAGGGCAGATGACAGCTAACCAAGGTCCACAGTCAGATGTAGGCCAGACCAAGATGAGGATTTCCAGGCAAACCCCCTTCCCTGAAGTACATTAGTGAACCAATGGGCCTTTATGACAATTGGCAGTGATTTCATGGTCATTATTAGTCTTTTACTTCCAGATATTTTAGCTGAATTCAAATTCCTTCATTTGCCGTGTCGGGATTCAAACTCCCGTCCCCATTAGTCAAGTTTCTGGGATCTTATCTTATTAAGTGGTCAACTGTATGGTACCTTATTGCACTTCTCAATTGATTGAGCCAAAAGCCTTGGTCAGATTTATGAAGGCCATGTGGAAGGATTGGTGTTGTTTCTTGCATTTGTCTCGGAGATGCCAAGCAGTGAAGATCATATCCATAGTTCCACATTTGGTTGGAACCACATGGCTTTCAGGAAGGAGTTCCTCAGAGATTGGGAGAAGGTGCCTAGTGAGTATTCGGGTGATGCTCTTCCCAGCAATGGAGAGTAGGGAGATTCCTCTGTCGTTCCCACAGTCTACTTTATCTCCTTTCTTGAAGATGGTGGTGATGGCAGCATACCTGAGATTAGAATGGATTTCTTCTTTATCTTAGATTGCTATACTCCCCCAAGCTTGAAAATCTCTGTTTGAATCCTATCTAATCCCATGGCTTTCCCATTCTACACGTGTCTAATGGAGGCTTCAATTACTGCTGCACACAGTGGGAAGCCAATATAATCTTTGATGGACAGTTGGTGGATTTCCACAAACATGTCATCAGTGACAATTGTATCATGGTTTAGAAGGTCTTTGAAGAGTCCCCTCCAATGGAGGTTGATGTTTTCCCTTTTTTGTTAGAGGGTACCATTTTTAATCCACACTGGTTTGGGACCAAGGGTGTTGGATTTGTATGTTGCCTTGTGGCACCGAAGAAACCATGAGTGTTATGCTTCTCAGCAAGGAGTTTCAACCCTGCAGCTTTCTCAGTTCACCATTGGTTCTTAATTTCCCTCATCCTCATTTTAACTCTGTCTTTGCTATTTGGTGAGTTCTCCTCTTTGCCAATCTGATGAAGTTTGTTTTTCCAAGCAAGGAGAGCTTTCCTCTTCTTGTCACTGAGGCATTGGAGAATGCGATCATTCTTGCCAAGCTAGTCTTCATGTTTCATGGTCTTGTAGACAATGGTTTCTTCACAGCATGAGATGATGGCTGTCTTCAGCTCTTTCCTCCTTTCCATGAAAACGAATACTGTGGAGATTTCGGTGAAGATGTTTTCAAAGTTCACTATCGTGCTTGGTTCTTGGAGTCACACAACATTGAATTTTTTTCTAAAGTTTCTCTGTTTTCAGCTGCTTATGGTGGCAATTGATGGACTTTGAGGAGCAGATGATCTAGTCGTCAATTTAGCAGGCATCTGCAGTGGTCAGTGCTTTGGTAGTGAGAATATTATTTTGGTCTCGGGATCGGATGTTGACATCTTTGGTCATTCATCAGCGCTTTGCCAGTTTTGCTTCCAAGAAGTTTTGGGGTTGTCTTTTTGGTGTGACAGTGCGTTGGTGTGACCAGTTGCTGTCCCACACATTTGGAGAGCAGTAGAATCCTGTTGGAGGTGCAATTCCTGAATCCTTCCTTTCTGATGGTTCCTTTTCAGAGTTGGGCATTATTCCAAACCAGATGTTTAAGTCCCCAAGGATGACAATTTTCTTTCCTTCAAGATATTAATGTGTATGGATTCCAGGGTGGAGTAGAAGCCTCCTTTGGACACATCTATGATGTCAAGAGTTGGAGCACCAACACTCACGAATTTTATTGATGCTGGCATAAGCCCAAAAACACATTTGCTCCGACAATGCTCTGAATCCCTCAGCATTAAGACTTTCTTTTCAAGTGAGTTTTCTCATCTAAAAGAATCAATGACCTACTATTTTCTCACACTCCATCTACCATGATTTATCCACTTCACTTTGATTGTGTTCTTGTAGCTGCCTGCTCCCTGTCAAGTTCTCTCAAACTGTAGGCTGACAAATTATTTAAACCAAAAGTTAATACATTATCAGATGAATATTCTAATGTTTTTTGTTCCATTTGTCCTTACCTAAGATTTTCTCTCTGGAGGGTCTTTTCAACACCAACACCTTGATCTGGTGACGAACCTGCAGCTTCAATGTTGGATCTGCTCTGTGTGGAGACAGGGAAAGAGTCACTCTGTACAACTGCCTAGTATCACACCTGAAATTGAATGTTTTTTTTCAATAGAATATCCAATGACACTGCGGTGTACGAACTTCCTGCCTTGTTACCAAATAGAATTCTAACAGACAGGTTCATGTTCAGCGAATTGAATCAGCAGCTTATTTATTTCCTTGTTCTTTAAAAATGGAAATTATGATTAATGGAGCTATCAGACACAGTGTAATCATTGTATTTGCATTGTATGTAGAGTGAGAGTGATTAAAATGGTTTTCACGGTTTTAATTTTTTGCTGTCATTTTTTTTCAATATTCTGATATTTACAGAGGTGGTGATGTGATGGAAATGTCACTGGCCGAGTAATCCAGAACCTCAGGCCAATGCTTTGAGGACATGGATTTGAATCCCACTATAAGAGATGATGATGGTTAAATTCAACAAAAAAAAATCTAGAATAAAAAAGATAGCTTGGTGGTGACATGAGACAGAATCTTCCTCGTCCCTGAAAGATTTGAGAAAATCTAAAGAAATGAGATCCTCGACATCAAGCTGAAAAAGTCCAATTCTTTAATCAAGTTTTGAATGTTGAGATGTGCATCTCGCTGGTGAGAAATGAGATGTTTATTAACATCCATTTGGTAGCAGTAGCAGGCTATTGTTAACTAATCACACCTCATTACTATGCAGTTTATCACTCTCCCACTGAAAATTCCCACCATTAAAGTCCAGGCAGTTACCAGGTGACTTCAGATCACTACTTGGTCCTCTGGACCTCCATCAGTTACTGACATCTTAGGGCACTCAATGGGCAATGCCCATCTGCACCCCCATCCCTGAACATTGGCACTGAACATGTACTAACACCACTGCACCTTCTCAGCACATCTCCAATCCCCAATGGAGTTCTCGACTTTAACACTGCAGCATTGAGCACAGCGACACCTTTCATTTCAATACTGCTGCTAGGACACTGTGTGCAGGAACAGGTAGCGGAGTGCTCTGCACTCATCTCTTAGCACTCTCTCACTTTGTACCTGCTTGGGTGTTCACTGCACTTCAGTCTCACCTTGTTTTGCCTTTTTTTCACTTTATAATTCAAGGGCGTGATCTGATATTAGTCCAGGGGCATGAACATGGCCAATTGGTGACTTGGGTTGATCAGGGTTAGGTGGGCCATATAATCACAGTCTGGAGAGTGGGCCACTGTCAGACCTGCATGCACAGTGCAACAAATCCAGGAAGATTCGTATGTCAATCAGGGAGACGCGCACAGATGAGCCAGGGGTCTGGTCAGTCATCAATCAGGCTGTCCATTCAAGTCGGTCAGAGCGATAGGCTATAGCCATTCCTGGGTGGCAACTAAATGAAAATCAAAGGACTACTCCTGTTGTTAGGGAGGCTAGAGAAATCAACTGTGTTGAATAGAGGCTGTGTGTTGGGATGCAGAGCAAAAATAATTGTAAAAGTGGGATAGTCAACATATTAAGAGACAGTCGTCATATAATCCCTACAGTGGGGAAGCAGGCCCCTTTGGCCCAACAAATCCACACTGACCCTCAGAGCATCCCACCAGACCCATCCCGCCTATAACCTACCTAATCTACACATCCCCGAACACTACGGCCAATTTAACATGGCCCATTCACCAAGCCTGCACATCTTTGGACTGTGGGAGGAAACCAGAGCACCCAGAGGAAAGCCACGCAGACACAGGGAGAATGTGTAAACTCCACACAGACAGTCGCCCGAGGGAGGAATCGAACCTGGGTCCCTGGCGCTGTGAGGCAACAATGCTAACCACTGAGAATACTGCATTGTAGGACATGGGTTACTGCAAGAGAGGGGGATATCATTGACAGTCACATCCACCTCTCTTGCAGCAGAATGGTTGACATGACTAAGCCGAAGGACTGGGCATCAACGGGTAATGTTAGGAATTGGTGTCATAATTTGAAGAGTATGTGAGAATATGTGGAATTCAAGCATTGATTGTCTTGACAGGGTGAGCGAGGAAGAAAGAAAGGAAGACAGAGTTTTGAAGAGGTCTCTTGTTTATCAGGCTGAGTCTGTGACAGAGCCCATTGGGATCTGGATTTCCTTCAATGCTCAGGAAAATTGTAAATGTGGGCTGGAAATGGTAAATGGCAGTGCACGCTTGTGAAATAGACCGAGTCAATGTATTTGCTCTTTTTGAGCACAAGGGCTCATCTCGTGAGCAGTGGGAGGCCATTCAAGAGGAAACTGCATTATTCAGATACTTACACAGCTCAAGGTGAAGACATCATTTAATGATAGCATTGTTCACGTGAAATGCACATGGTGTTCAACTGTATGAGATACAAATTCTGGTCATAGCAATCTTCATGATATATTTGGTCATTGCAAATTGAAGATGGCCATCTCTGTGAAACATTAGCAATCACAGTGAACTTCAAAGTGCTATTTGTGGATTGTAGATGTGCCTTGAAGGTGAATTGATGCTAGGGGTATGTGGTCAGCACCAATGTTCATGGTGAGGGGTGCTTAAGATAGCACCTGCTAACTTAAATCTTCTCCGCCATTGAACATGATCATGCCTGATCATCTTGGCCTCAACTTCAATTGTTCCTAACTAAAATATATTGCAGTAAGGAAGAAAAATTTTAAGAGGGAGAAATAAAATCCATGGCTAAGTAAGAAGATTAAAGATATTACAAAGTCAAAAAGTAAAGGAATACTATATTGCGAAGGCAAGTAGCAGGCTGGAGGATTGGGAATCTTTTAAAGATCAACAAAGGGTTGCGACAAAATTCATAAAAAGAGCAATGGTAAATTGCGAAAAAAAATAGTGCAAAATATAAAAATGACTAGCAAAAGCTTCTCTAATTATGAAAAAAGGAAGGGAGTAGCTAAAGTGATTGTTCATCCCATGCAAGATGAGGCTAGGGAGTTAATAATAAGGAACACAGAAATAGCAGAGTCACTAATTCAATACCTTGCTTCAGTTTTCATGATGGCAGACATTAGTACAATCCTGTAGTGCAGTATTTTGAAAAGGGAGGTATTTACAACAAACATCATCACAAGGGAATAAGTGCTAAACAAACAATTGGGATTGAAGGAAACAAGTCCCCAGGGACTAATGGCTTACTTCCTTGGTCTTAAAGGAAATGACATCAGAGATATTGGATAATGGTGGTAATAATCTAAAATTCCCTGAACATGGAAAACGTTCTAGTGCATTGAAAAAATATTAATATAACACCCTTAATCAAAAAGGGAGGGAGACAGAAAGTAGGGAACTACAGAACAGTTAGCTTATTACATGTCATTGAGAAATTATTAGAATTCATTAATAAGAAAGGACATAACAAACATTTGGAAAGTCAAAATGCAATCCATGAGGGTGAGCATATTTTTATGGAGGATAAATCATGTCTGACTAATTTGCTAGAGCTCTTTAAATATGTAAGAAACCATATCAATAGTGAAGATGCAGAAGACATTTGACAAGGTGCCATGCAAAAGATTAATGCACTGGGTAAGATCACATGAGGTTAGTGGTAATTTATTAGCTTGGATAAAGGATTGGTTGACCAACAGAAAGAAGAGAGTCAGGATAATGGGTCTTTTTCTGGTTAGCAAGCTGTAACTAGTGGGGTGCCACAGAATTCAGTCCTTGGGCTCCAACTATTTACAATATATATTAATAACTTGGATTTAGGGATAGAAAATATTAAATCCAAATTTGCAGATGACACAAAAATAGGCGGGCCAATAAGTTAGAAAAGAGAAGTAAGTAATGTACGAACAGATATTGATGGGTTAGGCTAATGGCCCAAAATGTGACAAATGAAGTTTTTAAGGGGTAAGTGTGAGAATATCCATTTTGTTGGAGAAATTGAAATTTATTATCTGAGTGGGGAGAAACTTCAGCGTGTTTCAGTGCAAGAGGGATCTGGTTGTCCTTGTGCATGAATCAGAAAACTAGTATGTGGGTATAGCAGGCAATTGGGAAGGCACGTGGAATTTTGACATTTATTGCTAAAGGAATAAAATATAACGGTGGGGAAGTGGGAATCTGTACAGGGCATTAGTGAGGTTACATCAGGGGTATTGTGTACAATTTTGGACGCCTATTTGAAGACGGGTGTAGCTGCAGTGAAGGCAGTTCAGACGAGCTTCAAGATTAATTCCAGAGATGAGAGGTTGGTTTTATGACATGAGATTGAGCAGTTTAGGCCTGAACCCTCTGGAGGTTAGAAGTATGAGAGGAGACCTGACTAATCTACATAAGATACTAAAGGAGATTGACAAAGTAGACATAGAAAGGATGTTTCATTATAGAGTCATAATCATCGAGTCATTCGGCACGGAAACAGACCCTTTGTACCAACTAGTCCATGCTGAACGTAATCCCAAACTAAATTAATCCCACCTGCCTGCTCCTGGCCCATATGCTTCCAAAGCTTTCCTTTTCATGCATTTATCTAAGCGTCTTTTAAACATTGTTACTGTGGGGCAATCTAGAATGAGAGGCTATAGGTTTAGGTTAAGGGTGGTTACTCTCTGACGACACGAACGGTAACACAAGCCACTTGTAAATTGGCATAAAGATAAGAAAATTAGAAAATTAAGCACATGGTTAAAGGAATGGTGTGGGAAAGAGGGGTCCCATTTCCTGGGACACTGTGATCGGTCAATACAAGTCAAATAACAGGATAGTGAGTGAAGAAACAGTCAGGAATCCTGCTTCATGTATGGCAGGTAATGGCAAAACTTGTAGTAGGGTATTTATTAAACCAGAAGAGAGAAATAATAAACAGGTGAATAAAGCATCAGTGCTGAAGGACTAATTATAGCATATGGCCCAAGTAAAAGTTCCATGTGCAAATGCATTGAGTATAAGAGAAATAACTTCACAGAGACTGGCATCCCAACACCAAGTCACCCTTTAGTTATATGTGGAGAGTTCCTGACACTGATCTAGCTCCCTCAGAGCCAGCTGTCAGAGTGAACTGGAAGCCTGACACTACTGTTTTTCTCTGTCAGCCAGAGCTCCCTGATTGAACCAGATTGACAGCCCCAGTCAGGGAACTCATATTCTCTGAGGTCCACCTGGTTGACCCTGTTACAATCACTACATTCCTCCTCTGAGTCTGAGGACATAGGTCAGTTCTTTCTTTTTGTATTTTAAATAAATGCAGAGATTTTTTTGCCCTGAAACATCTTTCTACTGCTTCTTCATTTCACACCCCCTAAATAAGTCCAAAGTCTAGAACCAGGGATCTGGGAGCAATTTGAACGCCTTAGAAATCAGAAAATAGTTGATAGCAAACCAGTAACCCTAAAGCCTCACAGCACCTGGGACGCAGGTTTGATTCCACTCTTGGGCAATGATCTGCGTGGAGTTTGCACTTTTTTCCTGGGTCTATGTGAGTTTCCTCTGGCTCTGGCTTCCTCTCCCAGTCTAAAGATGTGCAGGTTAGGTTGTTTGGCCAAACTAAATTGCCTATAGTGCCCAGGGATGTACAGACCAGGTGGATTAACCATGGGAAATGTAGGGTCACAGGGAGAGGGGATCAGTCTGGGTGGGATGCTGTTCAGAGAATCAGTGTGAGCCCAATGGGCTGAATGGCCTGCTTCCACACTGTAGGGATTCTATGATTAATTAGGATTTCAAACAGGCAACCATTATCTAATCAAAAGGTGTTGAGCCAATCTAGGTGAATCTTAAGTTTTGGAGTCCAGAGCGAATTTTATTAAAGACTGGTTCTGCAATCACAAAAATGGCCATGCTGGTATTGGTCTCCATTAGAACCAGCTGGCCTTTTAAGCAGGTGTTTGTTTTATTTGGTTCTGATTTGGATGTTGCTAAGAAATTTAAATGTTCCAAACCCGATGTAGGTGAACTTTTCAGGGTGTGCACTCTCCTGGATATCGGTCTATGAATTTTTTTATTCAATTTAGGTCTAGTGGGTTCTTTTGCTGTCTCAAACCCACATACCAGCAGCAACTACACTGTTTTGCCGGCCTGGATGCTGAAGTAAGTTTTAACCATTTGGCCGAGGTTTGGCTTTGTTTTGGGGCTTTGCTGTGGGCTGACCTAGAGCCCCTCTGTTCAGGATATGAACTGAGTGAGTCTATGCAATAGCCTTCACTCAAGTGATGTTCCCCAAGCTCAGTCACCTTGGTGAAGGTGTTCACTTCCATCAGAATACCATGCAACACACATCCTTCACTTGCTGTATTTTCCAAAGACAAACCCAGCTGTCATGCCTGTTTGAAGTCCAGTTGGACTTGAGGCAGTAGGTGCTTGTGCATGGTTACACCATTATTCCCACATCCCAAATGATCTGTCAGTATCTCATTCAGGGTTAAGCCGAAGTTGCATGCCTCTAACCAGTTAACAGCATAGTTAAGAAGGCACGGGGATACATGCTTTTATCACTTGAGGCATAGATTATAAGAGCAGAGAAATATGTTGGAGCTGTACCGGACTTTGGTTAGGCCACAGCTGGAGTACTGTGTGCAGTTCTGATCACCACACTATAGGATGGAGGTGGTTGCACTGGAGGAAGGTGTGCAGAGGGAATTCACCAGGATGTTGCTTGGGATGGACCTGTTCATCCACGTAGTGAGGCTGGATACGCATCAGGTTGTTTGCAGAAGAGTATCCCAGCAAGATCGACGAGGTGAGCCCAGCAGCGAGAGATGTGATTCTGACATTGGTGGAGCCAGCGCAGGGAGCAGTAAAGCGATGGCGGAGGAGAATCAGCCCAGCAGTGAAATATGGTGCCTGAAGAGTGGTGACTTCAATGTTGGTTTGGTCTAGTGTAGACAGTGGGGAGACAGTGAAAGAGGGTTGGTAGCGGAAGAGTCATTGATAATGAGCTGGCTCAGGACCACTGGACTCTCTTTAAGAGATATCTATCTATTTTTTCTAATTCTTAAAACTAATCAAAATGGCACCAGTTCATGGTGACAGTAGAAAAGATTTTCACTATAAAATACACATGACAATAAAATGATTAATTCAATGTTTCTTTGGAGCAAGAATGTTGAAAGGGGATCTCATACAGGTATGTAAGATTATGAGGGGCATGGACAAAGTGAATAGAAAGCAGCTGGTCCCCTTGGTTGAGTGGTCAATAAGAAAGGGCACACTTTATTTTCATAAAAGACAGCAAATTTAGAGGGGATTAGAGCAAAACAAAATTCACTCAGAGATTAGTGGAAATCTGGAATGCATTGCCTGAGATGGTAAATTGAGGCAAGAAACCTCACAAACTTTAAAAAGTATTTGGACGAGCATTTGAAATGTCAAAAGAATCAAGGCAATGGGTCTAGTGAATGCATGTGGGGCTAATGTAGGTAGAAGGGCATTTTTGGCACATGGGTATAGACAATATCTAGTATTTTTCACAGACTAGTTGAGAAGGCAGGTTAAGTATATTACAATGGATATCGAGTCAGACCAATGTCACACCCTGGTCTTAGGATCACAAAATAAGCAGAAGAGAGTGTGTTAGTTCCCTGTTAAGTAAGATACTCAGACAATACACAGGAATGGCTGACACTGCACAGAAGAAGGGGCTTAGTTTAGATATGAAAATGCCACAGAGTGGGAAATGTGAGATTGATGATAATTGAAGGAAGTACTTAAATCCGTGAGGCTCTATCTCTCTTTCAAGATTAAATCTGATTCTGGATAAATCTATGGAGCATGGTCTGAATCAGTATTCACTTTCTTTGTTTATTTATCATCAGTTGAAAATTTCACTGAAAGGTGAGAATCTATTTATGGTAAAGGTCCAGGTGAGCAACACAGTCTCTAGTCTTATTCTTCTCAGCAATTTTGATTATTACGCATTAACACTGTTGCACATGAAATTATGGATATATCAGTTTCTAATTTATGTAATAATATTCTGTTTTTGTTTTGTTTAAGCATTCCAACCAAAGCTAATGTAATTCTATCATAATCCTTATGATTCTAATTTTGATTTCGAAGTAATCTCTCTCACTAATTCCTTCCATGCTATGATTTTTATGCCCAGTGAGGGACAACTGATCTTTCTTTCAAGATTAAAACTAATTCTGGACAAAACTATGGAACACGAATGAAATTTGAATTCACTTCATTTTCTTTAGTTTGTTTTTTGTACTCAGCTGAAAGTTTCACAGTATCACAGATTACCAATAGCACAGAAGGTCTTTGGGTCAATGATAGGGGACAGAGGGTGGTGATAGAGGGCTGTTTGTGTGACTGGAGCCCAGTGTGCAGTTACTTACCACAGGGAGCAGTGCTGGGTTCCTTATTGTTTGTGATAGACATAAACAAGAAAGATAGGAATGTGAGGGAGGGGTGGTGTTGAGGATGATAAGTGCATTTGCGGATGATGCAATGTTTGTCAGGTGGTTGGCAGGAGTGAAGAAGGACTGAGGTTACTGGAAATTATAAAGTGATTGATCAGAAAGGCAGATCAGTGGTGGATGGGCTTTAATCCTGATAAATGTGAGGCCTTGTACTTTGGAAAAAGTAAATAGACAAGGGATTACTCAATTAATTGTATGGTACCAGGAAGCTCAGCAGAATAGAGGACTCTTGAGGTGCTTGTCCACAACTCGATGAATGTCAGAAAGATGGTTAACAGGGTAATAAAGAAGGCATAAGGGCCACTTGCCATTATCACTTAAGGAATAAATTATAAGAACAGAGAAGTATGTTGGAGCTATACAGGACTTTGGTTAGGCTACAGCTGGAGTACTGTGTGCAGTTCTGATCACCACACTACAGGAAGGAGGCGGTTGCTCCAGAGGTGGGGGGTGAAGAGGGGATTCACCAGCATGTTGCTTGGAATGGACTGATTCATCGATGTGGCAAGATTGGTTAAGCTCAGTTTGTTGGCAGAAGGAAATCACAGTGACATCGATGATGGGGACACAGCCGCGCGAGATGCACATTGACGGGTCCAGTGCAGGTGGCAGTGAGGTGATGGCAGAGGTGAATTGGCCCAGCAGTGAAATATGGCAACTGAAGAGTGGCAAATTCAACATTGGTTAGGTCCAGTGTAGATGGTGGCTAGGTGGTAAAAGGGGAATGGCAGTGCAGGCATCGTTGATGATGAGCTATCTGAGTACTGATGAACTCTCATTAAGCTATAGCTCTCTATTTTGTCTTACTCATAAAACTATTCAAAATGAGTTTGAATCATTGGTGACAATGGAAAAGCTTTTCACTGTATTTTACAGTTTTTCTCAATGTAAAATACACGTGACAATAAAATGATTCATTCAACGTTTCTTTCAAACAGAGAAGGTAGAGGGGAAATGTGATGGAAGTCTTTAAGATTATGAGGGGCATGGATAGGGTGGATAGAAAGCAGCTGTTCCCCTTGGTTGAGGGGTCAATAATAAAGGGTACACTTTTTTGATAAAAGACAGCAGGTTTCGAGTGGATTAGAGGAAATCAAAATTCACTCAGAGTTTGATGGGAATCTGGAATGCATTTCTTGGGCTGGTAATTGCAGTTGGAAACCTCACAAAGTCTAAAAAATAGTTCTAGAACTATTTGAAATGTCGAGACTATGGATCTAGTGTGGGCATGTGGGGCTAATGTTGGTAGTAGTATATTTTTGACATGTGTATCGATAAGATCTAGTATTTTCATAGACTCGTTGAGGAGAAGGCAGATTAAATTGATTAAAATGAATATCTAGTCAGATCAATGACACACCCAGTGTCTCACGATCACAAAATAATGGAGAAAAGAATGTGTCAGTTGCCTGTTAAAGTAAGATACTCAGACAATGCACAGAAATGACTGATACTGAACAGAAACAGGGCCCTAGTTCAAATTTGAAAATGCAGCAGAGTGGGAAATGTGGGATAGAGAGGTGATAATGGAGAGAAATATTTAAATCCCCAACGCTCTAACTCACTCTCAAGATTAAGTTTAATTCTGAGTAAATCTATTGGGCATGGTCTAAATTTATATTCACTTTCTTTTGTTTATTTGTCCTCAGCTGAAATTTTCACTGAAAGGTGACAATCTATTTGTGATTAAGGTCCAGGTGAGCAACACAGTCTTTAGGCCTAGACTTCTGAGCAAGTATGATTGTGATGCATTTACACATGAAAGTCATAGATATACCAGGTTCTGAATAATACAATAATATTCTTTTTGTTTATTTAAGAACTTCAACCAACACAAACGTAACTCTGTCATAATCCTTATGATTCTAATTCTGATCTCCAAGTAATTCATCTCACTAACTCCTCCCATCCTGTGAGTTGCAGCTCATTTCACTTCCAAGACTAAATCTAATTCTGGTCAAACCTGTGGAGCATGATCTAAATTTGTATTCACTTTATTTTGTTTGTTTTAGTTATTTGTCCTCAGCTGAAAGTTTCACTGAAAGCTGAGAACCTATTTGTGGAAAAGATCCAGGTGAGTAACACAGTCCGCACTTTGATCCACTGTATTTGGCTCAGCTCCTGCTGTTTCTCCCCTGTATTGGGAGAAGTAAGAATACAATCTTTTCTATAAGATTTGACTGATAGCCAATGAGCATCAAACAATGAGCAACCTCAACTGTTGCTGGGTAGATTCTGATTGTACATGTTGTTCTGATTCCCAACAGGATAACAATTCCGTGCTGTTCCATGTCACTGACACAGTTGCTCATGATTTTGGAACTCTGCACATATAAAATATCACAACAGAAATGTCATATAACCAGTAATTTCAGGAGATTCAAAAGAGACTTCAAGCACTGATATTTACCTCTCCCATCAATTCCATCAGTAATCCCAAAGCCTTAATAATGTTTCGATGACTGCATTGAGCTGTATTTTAAACAACTCACTGTTACAGTCTGTACTCCTGCACCAGGCAGATTATTCCAAATCCCTCATTCTCTGAGATGGTTTGTGACTGTGACTGTGTCAAAGTGGTGAGTCCACAGACAGTTTTATATCTGTCAGGTATTGATTTCTATTGCACGCAATGCATAAAGATGTAAAACAGTGATAGAGAATCAGCAGCTTCCTGATTTCACACCGGAACAAACCAGCTCCAATTCTCAAATTATTGCCCCTTGTTCTGGACTCCCTCATTGTGGACCAACATTCCCTCTATAGCTACCCGATCAAATGCCTTTCTCTTTCTCAACACCACGACCACATCGCCCATCAGCGTTTGAAGGACAAGGGAATATAAATCGGCATGTACACTATGCTGGTGAAATTATATTTAACCCTGTAAACCCTGATTTGGCTGTCTCATCTAAAATTTGAATGACCTACTCTTTTCTCGCACTCCATCTGCCCTGATTTACCCCCTTCACTTTGACTATGTCCTTGTGGTTTTCTGCTCCCAGTCAAGTTCTCTCAAACTGCAAGCTGGTAAATTAATTAAACAGAAACTTAATACATATTAGATAAATATTCTGATGGGTTTTTGCTCAATTTTTTCCTTACCTCAGGGTTGTCTGTCGAGACTCTGTTGTTACTGAAATGTTAACACCTGGAGCTAGTGACGATCCTGCTGCTTCAGTGTTAGGTCTACTGTGTGAGGAGAGAGGGAAAGAGTCCCTATATATAACTGTCTGATACCGTGCCTCTGGTCAAGCGTCTGTTACCAATAGAATATCCAATGAAATTGCAATGTAGTAATTTCATGCCTTATTGCTAGGTAGAATCCTAACTTGTGTACTTACTTTTACTAGAAATAATCTGGAGTTTATTTACATCCTTGTTCTATAAAGGTAGCAAACCTGACTAACAGAGCTGTGGGATGCAGTGTGATCTTTAGTTTCACATTGTCTGTGGAATGAGAGTGATTAAAATTGTTTCAAGAATTTTAAAGATATTTTTCTGTGGAAAACCATTTCAGTATTTTGAAAGTTGGAGGAGTGTTGGTGTAGTTGCAATGTCACTGGCCTAGTAAGCCAGAACCAGAGACTAATGCTCCAGTGACATGGGTTTGAATCCTACTGTAACAGATGGTGATGGTTGAATTCAACAAAAATCTAGAATTGAAAAAGACAGGCTGATGGTGACATTGGACAGAATCTTCCCAGTCCCTGAACAATGTGGGAAATTCAGGAGTGATGGTAATAAATGAGATCGTCAACATCATTCTTTATTTAAGTTTTGAACAGTGAGATGCAAATCTCACTGATGAACAATGAGAGGATTATTAACTTGTTTTTATTCATTCATGGGATGAGGGCATCTCTGACTAGTCCAGCATTTATTGCCCAGAGGGCCGATAGGAGTCAATGACTTTGCTGTGGGTCTGGAGTCACATGTAGGCCAGACCAGATAAGGATGGCAGTTTCCTTTGCTAAAGGGCATTAGTGAACTAGATGGGCTTTTCTGACAATCAACAATGGATTCCTCATCATTATTAGGACGCTAACCCAGGTTTGTTTTATTGAATTATGAATTTCTCCACCTGCTGTGGTGGGATTTGAATGTGGATCCTGAAAACATTCCCTGTATCTCTCAGTTAATAGCCCAGCGATAATACCATGAGGCTATTTCCTCCCACTAATTCACTTGGCTGAGTCAACAAGTATCATTGACTGATCTCCCCTCATTAATATGCAGTTTATCATTCTCCATACCCGACCTCCCAACCCTGACAAATTCCCAACGTGGAATTCCGAGCATTTACCAGGAGATTCCAGACCACTGCTTGCTTCTCTGCACTTCCATCAGTTACTTACATCTCAGGGCATTCCAGGGGCAATGACCAATTGCACCCCCATCCCTGAACGTTGGCATTGAACACGTACTACCATCAGTGCACCCTTGCAGCACATCTCCAATCCCCAACAGAGTTCTCCATTTCATAGAAACTCGCCCCAGGTTTTTGTTTTGGCATCAAATACTTCCTATGGTAATGAATTCCACAGGCTTTGGTTGAAAAAATATCTCATCTCTGTCCTAAATAGTCTACCCTGAATCCTCAGACTGTGACCCCTGGTTCTGGACATATCCACCATCAGGAACATCCTCCCTGCATCTAATCTGACTAGTCTTATTAGAATTTTATCAGTCTCTATGAAATCCCCCCTCATTTGTCTGAATTGTAGCAAAAACAATCCTAACCTCGTCAATCTGTCCTCATTTGTCAGTCCCACCATCCCGAGAATCAGCCTGGTAAACTTTTGCTGTACTCCCTTGAGAGCAAGAGCATCCTTCCTCAGAAAAGGAGACCAAAACTACACAATATTTTAGGTGTGGCCTAAATGTATCCCTGCACCTGTACTCAAAACCTCTCGCAATGTAGGCCAACGTAACATTTGCCTTCTTTACCACATGCTGCACTTGTATGCTTACCTTCAGCAAATAATGCACAAGGATACACAGGTCCCGCTGCACAATCACCTCTCTTAATTTACAGCCATTCAGGTAATAGTCTGCTTTCTTCTTTTTCCTTCCGAAATGAATAACATCACATTTATTGAAATTATACTGCATCTGCCATTGATTTGCCCACTCAAGAAACTGTCCAGAATGCTGAAGGATCTCCGCATCTTCATCACAGTTCACCCTCCTGTTCAACTCGATATCATCTGCAAACTTTGAGATGTTACATTTTGTTCCCCCATCCATATCATTAGCATATATTATGAATAGCTGGGGTCCCAGCACCGATCCTGTGGCACTGTCAATTTGAAAAGGACCCATTAATTCCCACTCTTTGTTTCCTCTCTGCCAACCAGTTTTCTATCCATCTCAATACAATGCCGCAGCATAGAGTACATCGAGACTTTTCATTGCAATGCTGCTGCTGCCAGAACACTGTGTGCAGGAACAGGCAGCCAGCTCATGGATGGGTCCAGAAAGCTCTTCAGGACTCTTCACTTGCATTCTCAGTGCTCTCTCACTTTGTGTCTGCTTGGATGCTCATTGCATCTCAAACTCACCTTGTCTTACCTTGCATTTTTTGTGCATTGCCCCCACGTTGGCACAATGGTTAGCACTGCTGCCTCACTGCGTCCGGTGACTTGCTAAGTGGAGTTTCCATGTTCTCCACATGTCTGTGCAGATTTTTTCTGGGTGCTCCAATTTCCTCCTACAATCCAAAGATTTGCAGGTTAGGTGGTTTGGCCATCCTAAATTGCCATGTGGTGTCCAGAGATGTGCAGGCTAGCTGAGTTACCCATGGTAAATGTGGGGTTACGGAGATAGGGTAGGGAAGTGTGCCTGGGTAGGATTCTGTTTGGAGAGTTGGTGCCAACTTGAGGGGCCAAATGACCTCTTTGCACACGGTAAGGATTCTATGAGCCCATGATTCAAACAGAGCTTGAAGTCTTACATTTTACCTGACTGTTTAGCGCAGTCACAAATGTAAGTTGTTGTCATGCACATACACTGAAATGCCACCTCTATGCCCTGTGAATCATTTCTTTTTGGTTCCCCACTAGTATTTGCACTGTGCAGGGTATCTCCTGACTGACTGCACTTCATCTTGCTGCACTGCTGGGCATTAACCATGGCATCAATGCCAGGAATCCCTGGAGATACTGGTCGTGTCCCCTGGTGAAAGGGAAGATCTGATGAGGGGGGATCCATTGAGGAGTGGTACAGAGGCAAGTTATGGAGAATGTTGAGAGGTAACCGCTCACAGAGATAAACTTTCTATGAAACCCTCTAAAATCGATGCTTAGCCAACTTCTGGGAAAATTCAACCCCATGGAACAACTGATACCTTTCCTTCAGGAAGGACATCTGTCATTTTTTTTTTCTTTCATTCATTCATGGTATGAGGGCATCAATGGCTAGGCAGCATATATTGCCCAGAGGGCAGTTAAGAATCAACTACATTGCAGTGGGGCTGGAGTCACATATAGGCCGGACCAGGTGAGGATGGCAGATTTTCTTCCCTCAAGGGCATCAGTGAACCAGATGGGTTTTTCCCCCAACAATCGACAATGGATTCATGGTTGTCATTAGACTCTTAATTCCCGAATTTGTTATTGAATTTAAATACCACCATGTGCTGTAGCGAGAATACGACTAAGCCATCACCTCCCCCATTGCCTGCTCTGGCCAAACTGTTAATCCGGACTCACAATAATTTGCTTAACTCTTATCCACCTGTGAACAAGTCACTCATTGCAAAGTCAAATAGGTATGGACGGCAAATTCTGACATTCCACGAAAGACTAAATGTCAAAGAAAATCTCTCCGACAATGCGAGACTGAATTAATAATGATGATGCTCAAATGAATAGAGTAAAATCAATGTGATGTGAAATATTTGCAAGTGAAACTTAGTTTTGAAAAAACGTATTGTCTACCTTAGTGCTCTGATGTCTTATGCTATTGACAGTGTTAATGTAGAGACTCACTGTTTGACCTGAAGGTTCTTTTATGGTTTACCAAAATCTGGAGCATTATCAGCCATTGGTGAGTTCTCCACATAAATGCCCTTCTGTGGATTGCATGCTGCATGCAAATAAAACGTCATTGTTGTTACCTGGTAACTTATACTCTTCATGACTAGCTGTTGCTTTTTTGTCCCCAAGTTGCAACTTGATTTTATCAGTCATGGCATAGAGTATAATTGAAAAGAGGTAATGTTGGAGGAATGTCTGGAGTGGGTGTTCACAGCAAAATAAAGGACAGCTTTAACTGAAATCACAAACATGAAACAGTGATGCAGTCACTATGGCTGACTTTTCCAATGCCAGCATAGCTAGGGGTTGTAAAATCCCTATCACAGCAAATTCTGCAGAAAATTGAATTCTCCACTGTGCAGTTCCACTCTGCCTGAAACCCTTTGAAAACATCTGTTTAAATCAGAGACTTTGCAGGATTCTGGCAAGTTTAAGTGAAAAATTACTCAGGAAAGGTTAGACAATTAAATAAATGATCTAACTCCTGAAAAACTATTAAACTAAGCCCAGAAATAAGTCACACATCCCCAACTACACCTCCCTCAGGCCTTGACCCTGACCCACCTGCCTAGGGATCCAGCAGTTTGTACTGGGACCCAACCACATTTCAGGAAATACCATTGAAAGCTGGATAAAAGGCTCTTCACACTTTGTTTAAGCACTTTACCGCCTTCGTTGAGTTCAACAACTTCAGACCATAAACTCTGACCTCCAGCTTGGTATATAAAGGGGTGGATTTTCCAATCTCTCACTTTATTTGCAAACTCTGGAATGACTGTAACCGTAGCTGAAATGTGAATCATTCACACAGCCTGTTCTATTATTAGTCACTCTGCTTTTTTAATTTTCCCTCCAGTTGCAGTTTCAGTTCTGTGTTTCACTTTCCCAGAAACAAGCAGCAGCTGCCTAATCATCCAAGCACGATTCTGAAAGCAACACATACCTTCAGATTATCAAGAGCACAGAACGTCTTTGGCTTAGTGATAGGAGACAGAGGGTGGTGATAGAAGGCTGTTTGTGTGACTGGAGCCCAGTGTGCAGTTACTTACCACAGGGAGCAGTGCTGGGTTCCTTATTGTTTCTGATAGATATAAAGAATAAAGATGATAATGTATTGATGAGGGAAGGGCAGTGTGCAGAATGACAAGTGCGTTTGTGGACGATGCAAATGTTTGTCAGGTGGTTGACAAGAAGGAAGAAGGACTTAGGTTACTGGAGATTATGAAGTGATTGATCTGGTAGATGGACTTTAACCCTGATAAATGTGAGGCCTTGTATTTTGGAAAAAGTAAGTACTCAAGGGATTACTCAATTAATGTTATGGTACCAGGAAGATCAACAGCACAGTGGAATCTTGAGGTGCTTGTCCACAACTCGATGAATGTCATAAGGACGGTTAACCGTGTAATAAAGAAGGCATAGGGGCCACTTGCCTTTATCACTTAAGAAATAGACTATAAGACCAGAGAAGTTTGTTGGAGCTGTACAGGACTTTGGTTAGGCTACAGCTGGAGTACTGTGTGCAGTTCTGATCACCACACTACAGGAAGGAGGCGGTTGCACTGGAGGGTGGGGGGTGAGGAGGAGATTCACCAGCATGTTGCTTGGAATGGACTGATTCATCGATGTGGCAAGACTGGTTAAGCTCAGTTTGTTTGCAGAAGGAAATCACAGTGACATCAATGAGGGGGACCCAGCGAAGAGAGATGCACATTGGCAGGTCCAGCGCAGGTGGCAGTGAGTTGGTGGCAGAGGTGAATTGGCCCAGCAGTGAAATATGGCACCTGAAGAGTGGCAGATTCAGCATTGGTTAGTTCCAGTGTAGACGGCGGCTCGGTGGTAAAGAGGGAATGGCAGTGCAGGCATCGTTGATGATGAGCTGTCTGAGTACTGATGGACTCTCATTAAGCTATAGTTCTCTATTTTGTCTTACTCATAACACTGTTCAAAAAGAGTTTGAATCATTGTGACAATGGAAAAGCTTTTCACTGTGTTTTACTGTTTTTCTCAATGTAAAATACACGTGACAATAAAATGATTCATTCAACGTTTCTTTCAAACAGAGAAGGTTGAGGGGGAATGTGATAGAAGTCTATAGGATTATGAGGGGCATGGGCAGGGTGGATAGAAAACATTTGTTCCCCTTGGTTGAGGGGTCAATAAGAAAGGGCACACATTTTTGATAAAAGACAGCAGGTTTCGAGGGGATTAGAGGAAATCAAAATTCACTCAGAGTTTGATGGGAATCTGGAACGCATTTCTTGGGCTAGTAATTGTGGTTGGAAACCCCACACACTTTAAACAGCACTTCTACAACTATATGAAATGTCAAGACTATGGGTCTAGTGCGGGCATGTGGTGCTAATGTAGGTCGGAGCATAGTTTTGACACATGTGTATAGATAAGATCTAGTATTTTCATAGACTAGTTGAGGAGAAAGCAGGTTAAATAGATTAAAATGGATATCTAGTCAAACCAATGTCACACCCTAGTTCTCAGGGTCATAGATTAAGAAAGAACAGAGTGTGTCAGTTGCCTGTTAAAATAAATACTCAGACAATGCACAGAAATGGCTGACACTGAACAGAAGCAGGTCCTGAGTTCAGATGCGAAAATGCAGCAGAGTGGGAAATGTGAGATCGAGAGATGATAATGGAGAGAAACACCTAAAAATTCCCAACGCTCTACCTCCCTCTCAAGATTAAGTTTAATTCGAGATAAATCTATCGGGCATGGTCGAAATTTGTATTCACTTTCTTTTGTTTATTTGTCCTCAGCTGAACGTTTCACTGAAAGGTGAAAATCTATTTGTGATTAAGGTCCAGGTGAGCAACACCGTCTCTCGGCCTAGACTTCTGAGCAAATATGATTGTGATGCATTTGCACATGAAAATCACAGATATACCAGGTTATAAATAATGCAATAATTTTTTTTTGCTTATTTAAGAACTTCAACCAACACAAATGTAACTCTGCCAATAATCCTTATGATTCTAATTCTGATCTCCAAGTAATTTCTCTCACTAACTCCTCCCATCCTGTGAGTTGCAGCTCATTTCACTTCCAAGATTAAATCTAATTCTGGTCAAACCTGTGGAGTATGATCTAAATTTGTATTCACTTTATTTTGTTTGTTTTATTTATTTGTCCTCAGCTGAAAGTTTCACTGAAAGCTGAGAGCCTATTTGTGAAAAAGATCCAGGTGATTAACACAGTCCGCAATTTGATTCACTGTATTTGGCTCAGCTCCTTCTGTTTCTCCCCTGTATTGGTAGAAGTAAGAATACAATCTTTTTTTATAAGATTAGATTGATAGTCAATGAGCATCAGACAATGAGAAACCTCAATTGTTGCTGTGTAGATTCTGTTTGTACATCTTGTTCTGATTCCCAACAGGATAACAATTCCGTGCTGTGGAGTATCACTGACACAGTTGCTCATGATTTTGGAACTCTGCATATATAAAATATCACAACAGAAATGTCATATAGCCAGTAATTTCAGGAGATTCAAAAGGGACTTAAAGCACTGATATTTGCCTCTACCATCAACTACATCAATAACCTCAAAACCTTAATAATGTTTCGATGACTGCATTGAGCTGTATTTTGAACAACTCACTGTTACAGTCTGTACTTCTGCACCAGGCAGATTATTCCAAATCCCTCACTCTCTGAGTTGGATTGTGACTGTGCAACTGTGTAAACGATGTGATTTCACAGACAGTTTTATTTTTGCTAGATATTATTTTCCACTGTTCTCATTGAGAGGTAAAGATGTAAAATAGTGATAGAGAATCAGTAGCTTCCTGATCTCAAACATGAACAAACCAGCTCTAATTCTCAGATTATTACCCCTTGTTCTGGATTCCCTCACCAGGGGCAAACTGTCCCTCTGTATCTACCCGATCAAATCCGTTTCTCTTTATAAACACCACAATCATATTGTCCCTCAGTATTTAAAAGACAAGCGAATACAAACCAGAATATGGACTATGCTGATTAAATTATCCTTTAACCCTGTAAACCCGGAGATAATTAGATCATAGAATCCCTACAGTGCAGAAACAGGCCCTTCAGCCAACAAGTCCACACCAACCTTCTGAAGACCATCCCACCCAGACCCATCCCCCTACTACTTTCCCTGTAACCCTGCATTTCCCATGGTTAACTTAATCTACATATCCTGAACACTATGGGCAATTTAGCATGGCCAATCCACCTAGCCAGCACATCTTTGGACTGTGGGAGGAAAGCGGAGCACCTGGTGGAAACCCAAGCATACACAGGGTGAATGTGTAATCTCCGCACAGAGAATCGCCCGAGGTTGGAATCGGCCCTGGGTCCCTGGCCCTGTGAGGCAGCAGTGCTAACCACTGAGCCACTGTACTATTCTAGGGGCCCCAGTGACATTCTGTCAGATGCTGTGCTCCAGATGGAGGTCTGGCCAAGACTCTGCACATCTTCCTCATGACCAAAATCAGACCTCTTGAGCTAAAATCCCAACATCCTTCAGCCTTTTGTGATTTTGCTTTCTGTTTTTGCTCCGGCTTTCAGAGATTCTGGCATAGGCACCTAAAATGTTTGCTCCATCAATGCTCTAAGCTCCTCAGCATTAAGACAATTTTCTGATTTGGCTTTCTCATCTAAAAATTGATTGACCTACTCTTTTGTCACACTCTATCTGCCATGATTTATCCCCTTCTCTTTGACTGTGTTCTTGTATTTTCCTGCTCCCAGTCATGTTCAGTCAAACTGTAGGCGAGCAAATTATTTCAATAAAAACTTAATACATATCAGGTGAATATTCTAATAGTTTTTGCTCCATTGTTGTCCTTACTTGAGGGTTTCTCTGTGGAATCTGTTTTTATAGACATTCCAACACCTTGATCCTGTGATGACCCTGCTGCTTTAGTGTTGGATCTACACTGTGAGGAGAGAGTGAAAGACTCATTCTGTATAACTGTCTGATGCCACACCTCTGTTCAAGTGTCCGTTTTCCATAGACTATCCAATGATACTTCAGTGGAGGAACTTTCTGCCTTGTTACCAGATAGAATCCTAACAGACAGGTCCATATTCACCAAAAATAATCAGGAGTTTATTTCCTTGTTCTATAAAGATAGCAATCCTGGCTAATAGAGCAGTAGGACACAGTCTGATCATTATATGTGGAATGAAATTGATTAAAATGGTTTTAAGTGTGTATTTTTCTATGCAAAACCATTTCTTATGTTTGAATAGTGTATGAGAAATGTCACTGGCCTTAAAGTAATCCAGAGCCGCAGGATAATGCTTTGGGGATATTGGTGAATCTGACCATGACAGATGGTGATGGGTGAATTCCAAGAAACTTAGAGTTAAAAAAAAGACAGCCTGATGGTGACCTAGTATAAAATTCTTCCCTGTTTTTGAACAATATGGGAAAATCAGGAGAGATTATCAGAAATGAGATCCTCAACATCGAGGTGACAAAGTCTGATTGAGATGAGAATCTCAATGGTAGCAATGAGTTATTTATTAACATCCATTTGGATGCATTAGCAGGTTATTATTAATTAATCCCATTTCATTAATATGCAGTTTATCACTCTCCCTCCTCATCCTGCAATTCCTGACATGGAATTCCAAGCAGTTACCAGGTGATTTGGCATTGAACACTTACTAATATAAATGCACCCTCATGGCACATCTTCACTACCCAATGGAGTTCTCCACTTCAGTGCTGCAGCATGGAGCATAGCGACACCTTTCATTGCAATGCTGCTGCCAGGACACTGTCTTGTCTACAGGAACAGGCAGCCAATTCATGGACGGGCCCCGGATGCTCTTCAGGACTCTTCACTTGCCCACTTAGTGCTCACTCACTTTGTGTCTGCATGGATTCTCATTGCAACTCTATTCACCTTGTCTTACCTTGCTTTCTTTTGTCCCCACAAAGGCACAGTGATTAGCATTGATGCCACACAGCACTCGGCACCCACGTTCAATTCTACCATTGGGTTACTGTCTGTGTGGAGTTTGCACATTCTCCCAGTGTCAGGGTGGGTTTCTGCTGGGTGCTCCAGTTTCTTCCAACAGTTCAAAGAGATGCTGGCTAGATGAATTGATTACACTAAAAAATATGAGGGGACGTAGTTTTAGAGTACAGGGCAGGAGATTCAGAGAGGATTTGAGCCTGAAACCTGACAAACTGTAAAAAAAAATTGGACAAGGACTTGAAATCTCGTAACATTCAAAGATATGGAACAGGTGCAGGAAATTATGTTAGCATGCCTTCAGTCGTAGTTACTTTCAATGCAGACCTGAAGGGCCAAAGTGCCTTTTCTGTGTTGTGACATGCTGGAAATCTGAAACAAACACAGAGAATGCTGGAGAAACTCAGCGGGTCTGGCAGAATCTATGGAGAGACAAACAAAGGTGGTATTTCGAGTTTGGTATGACTTTTTCAGAAATCTTCAGAACGAGAGATCAACTATTTATTTGGGATCCACCGTGGCTGACCTTGTTTTAACAAGTGGCCATTCTTTTCTGGAAGGTTCACTTCAACTGAATCGTGCAATTGCCAAGCTGTCACAAACATATTCTGGTCACAAACGTCACAGCCACAGCCCTGCTCAGTTCCATGCAAGAGGGGCAAAGTGTTTAACAGAAATGGCCCGGGGTGGGGAGGTACCTCTGTGTTGATTTTGAACAGAGGGATCTTTGCACAGATTGCCATCTTGGGAAGGGCTGTGGTACAGATACATTGGGCATATGCTCACATACCCATGAAAGCATACAGTGTAGGCATATAGCAACAACAGTCCCAGTCTAACATTGATTTGACACCCAGCCTATCTGCACCTTGCACATCCAGTTAATACCCAGCTGAATGTTCAGCTGTTTGCAGGAACCCCTAATCCTCCTTCCATACAATCTATGCTATTTTAAAATATCAATAGAAAAAGGTGCCGTCTGACTCTTGTCTGGCGGTCTGTGGTTAGTAGAAGTGTTTTGTTAGTGGAGAAGTTTATCAGCTTTTATGAATTCATTATGAATGACGCTCAATCTTGACATAGAGGTCTGTGGATTTGATGGCCTGTCAGGAAAACAAAACCTGTCTCAGTAACAAAGAATACGATTGTAGTGCCTGTAGTATCACAGACTGACAGGGAAATGGTGCAAAGATGAACTGCTTTGTAAAGAATACAGAGGAGCATGATTCTCAAGGACCTTCAGGGAGCTCTTCTGCTACATTCCTCTGAGGCAAAAGCAAAATCTGAGGTGGCTACACTTTACCAAGGACGTGATCGATGAACGGACCCACATCCTCTCATGGAACTGTGCAGTTGAGAGAGGAGGCAATGCCAGTGGTAGCCAAGGTCACTGTGAAACTCAATAACTAAAGCTCAGGATCCTTCCTGGCTACAGTCAGTGCCATTGTCTATACCTCTTAGGTCACTGTGTACTGCTGCTACTGAGACCTGCGCTCAAGTAAAGAAAATGATGTTGTTTTCTTTCTAAGCTCAGAATCAGGAAATATGGGCACTTGGCTTCTCTGGGATAGTTTGCTTTGGAATAATACAAGGATCTAAGGATTGTCAGCACATACACCACAAGTGCCACATCTTAACATGAGAATGGTCCAGAACTCGAGGGTATTATGTTGGAGAATGCCTGGCATTCCGGCAGGAGTTATAATGTTATTAAACTGTATTAGTAAAACACTATGCCTGATTCCTGACTTATCTCCATACCAAATCACATGTGAATATCTCCCCTACAATGACAGCTACTCTGTGACAAGAAACATGAGGATGGATGCCTGGCATTCCTGCAGGAGTCATGATGGTATTATCCTACGTCAGTAAAACATTACATCCACCTGCACCCCATCAAGTTTCAGAGATGGGGAACTAGGAGGCAAGAGTTAGCTACTCTATACCTGACTCCTGACTTCCTTCCATCACAAAATTACATGTGAATATTTACCCTACAATGACAGCTGCAATGTGACTAGGATGATCGGGGGGATATTGTCGTTTTTTGTTGCTATTTCTGTAACGTTTACATCTTCATCTCGTGTGAGGAATTTCTTCTCTGGTTACTCACCACATCCCAATCAAATCAAAGGTTCCTTCTTTAACATAGAATCCCTACAGTGAGGAAACAGGCCATTCAGCCCAACAGGTAATGATCTGGTGCCAGTGAAATAATTATCCCTGCTTCATGACTAGAAGCACAAACTCTTGATTGAGCCTCAATAAAGGTTCAGATGTTCCCAAAGACTGAGACA